CTTTATTCGTAGGAGAACCTTGGTCATCCGTGACCCAATCGCAGACAACCGTGGCGTTAACGTCATTGTTTTTAGTACTACCGTCGATATTCTTCACCAATCCGTCTACATTCTGACAAACTGTGGTGTATTCGTAGAGAAACCGTATGACAGTCGTGGCTATCCGTCCTGAAACCGTAGTGCATTTTTAGAAATTAGATTTCTCCACGACCTTGACGGTTCATCGTGATGGACTGATCTTGGTAAACCGTGGATATTCGTAGCTCCAACCGGAATATATTGACTTCTCACTAAAGCCTGGTTCATACTTCATGCGAAAGCGAATGCGAAGCAAATTTGACGTCATGAAACATTCGCTGCGAAATTCGCCTGAGTTGAAATGTGTTCAACTTTTACGAATTCGCAGAGCGAATACTTGCATGACGTCACAAATTCGCGTTCGCGTTCGCGCCGAGTATGAACCGGGCTTTAGAGGGTTACAGTCTGGTGATACATGTACTTTATTCCACACCTACCCTGTTGTAGCATCCAGACAGTTCCTTATCAAGAGCGTAGGGAACACGCATCATCAAAATAGAAGAAGAATCACGTAGTAAGGCAAGACACTAAGAAATTGACAAAAACATGGTGTTACCAATTGCTGTTGAAAGTTGCTGTGTATACAGGTGGACATGTATAAAATCACGAAAGAAATTCCCCCTTAATGGTCATACACAACATTTGCTTTTGCTGTATTTTCAGATGGATTTGGGGGTTAGTGTTTTATAGCAAATATTGTTACAGTGACCTGTTTAAATTTTGTGTTCATAGATACTGAAAAACCAAGAAAAAATTGGTATTCTTGTAGTCTGGCTCCCTGACCCTACTTCAGGCCAAACGGAACAATTTATAGACGTCTAGAAATTGCCCAGTCAGGGAACCAGTCTTGCACCAGTTCATGGATGTGTAACCCATTGCAAACAAGATGTGGACTAACTAAATTTTGGGGCCATTGAAAGTATGGTACGAGCTGTCCACCCTTCCCCCCCCCCCTTTATTGAGGCCAAGTGTCCAGAGAAAAAAACTGTCTACATTTCAGCACTGATTGCTGATGAACCCCCCCCCCCTTTCCCTCCTGCAAAAATTCCTGGATCCGCACCTCGCATCTAAAGACGCATTTTGGAAATTTTCCGTTAGTAGTTGTTTTGGGTGTGCGCAAGCGGACACGAAGCACAATAACTTTTCAACTCAGTGCGTGAACATCGTGTAGTTGCCATCTCCTTTATGAGAACGTGTCCCAGACGCTGATTTCAGGCGCAATTCAAAACATGATACTGCAAGTTTGGAATTGAAACAAGATTCTAGAATATTGTTCCTTGGAATTTACAGCATTCACTGAGATACAACTTCATCAGGTTAGTTGTTAAGCATCAATCCTTAGATTTGGAACACATTTGTGTGACAAATGATATACTCTACTTTAAGCCCGGTTCAACTTCATGCGAAAGCGAATGCGAAGCGAATTGACGTCATGAAACATTCGCTGCGAAATTCGCCGAGTTGAAATATGTTCAACTTTTATAAATTCGCAGCGCGAATACTTGCCATGACGTCACAAATTCGCATTCACTTTCGTGCCGAGTATGAACCGGGCTTTAAGGTAGGGAAAATCCAAATTAAATTTTGGACCGAGGACTAGCCTTTTGCATCACTCACCTGAGCATAATGAGTACAGCTATAAACATTGAGCAGATGGAGTCGACAACCAGCACCCAAAATACTGCATTAGCACCGCAGAAAATTATCACGCCGACGCTGCCTAGAGTGTCGCCATGATGTGAAGAAAGACCCCTGTAAAAACAAACCCAAATCGATATATTTCAGATCTGTTCAAAATTCCTGTGAATTAGACTATTAACCCTAATTCCCTGGGCCTTTTGCTGGGGTGTAGCCTCAATCCTGCAAAATCTCCGATTGGCCTCATGGAAAAAATAACATATAGCCTCAATTTTGCAAATTCCTCCATTATTTCCTAAATATGGTCAGTGGAGGGGTGACCACTGCCTGAATCCTGCAAAATCCTGCGGTAGTGACTGTCAATATGTTTAGGCTTGGCCAGTGACATCATGGAGCAGTACGGATGATTTCAAGCATAATCCAGGCCTACATTTATGCATGCTGAGCAAAAACAACACAAGGTCTGGCCAAGACCTTGACAAAGTGCATCCTACGAAATCAGTAAACACACTTTTGCCAAGTACATGTAACTTCAATCCTCCAAATTCCTCCACTTTGGCAAAGAGGATTTTGAAGGATTCAGGGCGTTAGGGTTAAGAGACAGGATGGTTACCCTTTTCAAGTTTTTAAGTCGCACAAAATGTAAGAATTATTATTGAGTCAATCACCGACCCTCAGCACGTCACAGGTTCAACCCCGCTCCAGCAAATTTCTTTGGTTAAATTATGATTAAGAAAATGCACCTAGTCAATTTTCCTTTACGGAATTTGAGGAAAACTAGCTGACTTACCCTGCATGATTTCCTTCTGTGATCCTGCTGGGTGTGCTGGTGTTCCCCATCATCTTTATATCCCATCCCTGAAATACAAAACGCAGTGAATCTCGATAAGTCAAATCTCAATGCAATGGAAAAAAAAAATTGAGATATCTGAAGTTCGAGCTAAGCAAATTCCCAACTTTCCTACGATCACGTTTATATGGATAAGATGGAATTTTTGAGCCGGGGTGATGTAAATCAAATAAGGTTTTGCCCTCACCGCATATAAACACTGTATACTCAGTGTGTTACCTCCAGAGTGAAAGTTGGAAAAAAATCACTCGGGTGGGACTCAACCCACGACCTCCTGCTTTCTAGTGCCGATGTCTTACTACTCGACCACCGAGCTAACGGGATCGGTAAGAAATGGAGACCGGTGTGGGGATTTCGAGTTACGGCGGTATTCATGTACATAATATCCTATTCTCTTGATGGGAATCAAGTTTCACTTTGAGATAAACAGAGTTTGAGTCATCCAAGTTTGACTTATCATGATTCACTGTAGGCACTTCAGATAATAAGGCCAACAAAAAAAGGCTCCGTTTCTGGTCTACGCACGCATTGCTGTAGCCATGCGCGTCGGCAAAATTTAAAAAACCCAACAATTTCAATGTAAGATGATGTCTCAAAACCGCCAAACTCACTGGTTTGACTGGAATCCTGCTGCTGCACAATTTTAACGTGTTTTTAGATGGGGTGACGATCAAGTATAAGCTTTATGTGGCCTCTCTGGGATCCCATACATTTTGCACTAAATTTATGTTAGGCACCGTTTGTAGTCATCAGCCGACATTTGAAGAAAAAAACAAGTAAAAAAAAAAAAAGCCGCTTGCCGCACCACTTTTGGGGCAAGCTCCATACCAGAAACCGGAGACTTTTTTGGGGGGCCTAATCATGCAGTTATCAAAATGTCTGATAAATTCTGTTATACCTCATCCGAAGCACTTGAATTTGGGTAATTTATGTCGTAAATCTGTAATAATTCCACATTTTTCAAAACATTTGGCAGTCAGGAAGAAGGACTGCAATGTTCAAGCTTACCGAGACTGTGTGCGTGACAGTGTCCGTGACTGTGTCCGTGACCATGCCCTACGCTACCATTGGCTGAACTGCCTATAAATGAAGCATGTAACAAAATATAATTGAAAACCACAAATGAACTACAAATCATAAGCCCAACTATTCAAGAACCTCAAAAATTCATCAGAAGGTATTAGCGAAAGATTTAAGTAGTCCGAAAATTTGGGGCTCCCATGACTGTGAAGGAGAGTACCAAACCTTAACTCTAACCACCCCAACTCCATCAAAATCCATCCCCCCATTTTGATGGATTTTGGGGGACTTGGTCCAGAAGGCCTGGCATGACTAAATATTGATGGAGTATGATGGACTTGGGCCTAATGGCCTGAAGCAGTGCTAGGGGTATCTGATTGATTTTGCCTAGCTTCTGTACTGCTGTTGTGATGAAAGCCATGTGTAGCAAGTCATGAATGTCAACCAGTGCGTCAGTGGTGGATTCCATTATGTCCGTACAGTTTTGTATTGGACGCACAGTGATTGAGGATTTTGATGGACTTGGTCCAGTTCTAGTAAAAGACGCTAGGGAGTTAGGGTTAAGGCATTTGTAACATGCAAAAGTTTGTGCTGTGTAAAAAAAAGCAGCATGCGTTTAAAAACAGGGTGTCCCAAAAAATCTGAATCCTCAAAGCTCCCTCTTTTTCGCAGCTTAAACACAAATTCGAAAAAATCAATACATATTTGGAGGGTATAGTTCATTAGCTTTTCAACAACAACAAAATCTTTTCAATCAGCCACATATTTATTGAGTTACGGCCAATTCAAAACAAGGGGGAATTTGTGAGTTTGATGAGATAAATGTGGCAAAGGAACATGTTCACTAAGACTTACCACCATGGGAATGTCCGTGGCCATGTTGGAATGCAAAGATACCAACTAAATTTACAAGCAATCCGAGAACTGAAACAATAAACAGTCTCTCGTGTCGCACCTCGGGAGGCTCCAAAAATCTCTGGAAAACAAAAGAGGAAATGATTATACAATAATTACTCCAAAGGAATTTTTTGTCATAGGAATGACAATCACAATTGGACAGAAGCAATGACAATGATAATGGGAGTAAGGACAATGTGCAAAAGACACTGACCGGTTGGAAATGAAAAAACAGCAATGACGTTTGTGACAACCGTTAAAATGTTATTACAACTACAACAATTAAAGCCACATTGGCCATGACAACAGTGACAAGTTAAAAACAATGACAATGGCAGTAAAAACAGTCATATATATAACAGCATTAAACAAAAGGAGAATGATAATGATGATTGTGGTGTCTGTCAACAATAACTGTACAAAAAATCATTTTGTTGATTTTATTAACCTAAACCCCCTCGGCCCTTTTGGCTAGGATCCATCACACAACGTGTGCGGTACATTGAACAGACAAGACTTGAAATTTATACGGATGAGACTGCCACAAACTGTCCGTCGCGTCCGATGTAAAACAAAACATGACATTTTCGGGGATTTCAGGCCATAGTACACCCTTAAGACCAATGCATCCTCCAAAATCAACTGGTACAATAATTCTCTCAATCCTCTGAAATCCTCTAAAATTGCTTGATTGATTTTGGAGGATTGAGGAGGGTTAGGGTTGGGAAACACCTAGAAATAAAAAAAAATTATCAGAAGAATTTCAATTATAGTGACTTACAGTGACTTGTCAGTTTAAAACTAACATACTTCACAAATTAAGAGGTTTTTTCTTACCTCAAATGCCTCAGAGAAGATGAAGAAAGCGATAAAGAGTAAAAATAGTGCGTTGATGAAACCTGCAAGAATTTCAGCTCGGACATACCTGAAACAAATGGATATAAGATTAATGCTTATCAATTAAATATTCCAGATCTACCGGATATGCATCCAAAAGTTTATGATTTGGAAGAAATAAGGCCTAATTCTCAAACAATTCACGGTGTTGTTAAAGCCATGTAGGATTATTGTAATTACATGAACCAGGAGAAGTAACTACAGAAACCAGGAAAAGTACCTACAGAAAAGTACCTATACAGCAAAGTACCTACAGATTAGTGGGGTGCTATGGTCCAATGGTTACGGTGTTCGCCTCATGTGACGTGGTACATGGGTTCGAATCCTGACCGTGGGAACATGGTGCTTGTGCTCTGAGCAAGGCACTTTACCATTATTGCTCTGCCTTCAGATGGGACGTAAAGCCGTAGGTCCCGTGTGTTGTGTAATGCACGTTAAAGAACCAAGTAACACTTATCACTATAGAGAAGGGATTTGCCCCGTGTTTCTGGCAGTATATTTCTGGCTGCAATATGCGCCGCAGCACCTTGTAAACCACTATAAGATGCTACATAATGGGTCTCATATTCTCATAAACTTTATTTATCTTTCTTTATTGATAGACATAATTTCCAGCGCCTTGAGTACCTAATTGTTGGTAGATACGTGCGCATATAAGACTCCGATATTATTTATTATCATTATTAACCCTTACTCTCTGAGGGTAGTTTACTGCATGTCAGTTGGTTATGCCAATGCCCTCCAGCTGCAGTTTATTGGCAGATAACAAGTCTTAACAGTGAAGGCTCCAATTGGCAGGAGTTGGAGGCCCTGGAGGGTGCCTGATACTGACCAGCTGGGGGCACTCACTTTGTTATCAGAGGACTCTCATTGTTCTCTGTGGCATGTATTGGAGTGCCTGTCCAGTTACCCTTGAAATGACATGGCAGATATTGGAGGGCCATGCAAAAAACATAGGAGATTTTCTTGAGCACATATTGGCATGCGTTGGAGGGTCTAGTAGGGTAAGGGTTAAATGACATGTGCTTGGTGGTAAAACCAGCTAGGGGCCCGGATGTGATAATCCTAAGCCAAAGGCCAGCAAAATATTATCTGCAACCAGGCCAATGCCGGTGTACTTGTTTAAAACTGGCCAAGCACATATTTATTCCCATACATTTCAGTCAAACAGTCAAACTAAGTAAACAATGGACAAAATCCAATGATTTTGTTCAACAATTTTACTTAAGGTTTTGTGAAACACCCCTTTGGCCACGTTTATGGCCTCGCGCGCGTAGTTCGAAAACTGTGGCGCAGAATGCTGCGGTGTTTTACCGGCAGTTTCAAACCACCCATGTGAAGGCTCTCGACCAATAGCAATTTTTGACTGTCTGTGACTGATCAAACAAATGGAGGGTTAATGAATGTCTAACAGCAATAAAACCAATTTGTTATTTGGAAAAATCAACAACCAACTTGTGCAATCTTACCCATATGAAAATGTGGGTGTGGCCCTCCATTTAGATATTACAGCAGCTGTCAGACCGGCTAGCAGTGCCGTGCAATCAAAGAACATATGGAAGGAGTCTGAAATCAGACCAAGACTGGGAACAAAAGAAAAAAAGAAAGACACTTGATTATTAGGCCAAATTAAAAACAACCAACATGTTAAGCGTTCCTGCCCGCTTCCTTTTCCGGAGCCGCCTCCTTTTTGAAAAAAAATGTTGCAAACTGACGCCACTTTTTTCTTCATACCGGCATATCATCTCAATGAAGGTCATTCATTGCAAAAATGATGATAAGACATGAATCTGGGACTGAGAAACATTTCCAATTTTGTTAGGAAATACTGAGAAAACTGTCTGACTCTGCAATAGAATTTGTACACAATCACGGAAGTGGCGTCATTTTGCAACATTCCCCCTCCCCTTTTTTTCTAAACCAAAAAAAAAATGATATTTTTATTAGTGACATCATTTTGGCCTCTTTGTCTGTTGCGTCTAACCTATATAAAGCTATCATTTCCTGGTCCAATATCGGCCATTTAAAAAACAAAACAACGGCAGCCATCTTGAAAAATATCCCGGT